AAAATGTACATCGACCATAACCTAAACTCCTGGTGAGCTGGGGAACATGTAAGTATTGGTAAAAGTAGGACCAGCAGCAGACTGACGGTGCAGGAAAATCATTTAGCAGTAAAGCAAACCAGGTTGCATTAATATGTTAATGTATTTCACAGCTCTGCAACATGACCTGCACGACCTGCAAAACTTTCTCAGCAAAGCTCAAGGGCAGGATTTTAAAGGCACGTCTAATATCTTCCTTTTTTAGAAGTTACAATTAAAACTCTTACTGAGTTTTAGGGAGCAGAATTATACCTAATACTAAAACACCCAAATCTCACCTTCTAAATAGACTTTTCAAGACTCCATTATTAAATCTGTCCAAAATCCAGACAGCACCATATCCCGCACTTCCACTGATAAATTCCAGAAGAATGAGAAGTTCTTATGCTCCTGATTTCAAGCATGTGATTCCCGCTCTGTAGATCTGCCGCCCTGCTGACCAACTTTGTATTTAAGCCACCAGCTGCTGGAGCACTCACAACGTTCAGAAACGTCCCCAGAGCCGCAGCCACGGCAGGTTCACACCGAGCAACCCGTAAACCGCCCGTGGGTGCTGGGGCTCCCCACTGGGCCTTCAGCCCAGCACCCCAGTGCCACGGGCACGGGACAGTCCCTGCGCCACCGACAGAGCTTTCGGCTTTTCTCCCTGCCACGTCACACCGTGGCCAGGACATCACCTGCCCGAAGCCTGTTTCTCTCCTGTTCTGGCTATTTTGAGACACTTCCAAGGCTCTCTCAAGGTGGTCCATCGCTGGATTAGACCAGTCTCCTCCAGGAGCTCATTCCACAACCCAGAGTGTTTTATTTCCAGCTCCCACGTAAAATATGCATGTGCAGTACCTGCTGCTGAGCACGCAATAGGTTAAACAAATTGATGATAAAGTATTCTACTTGGTTATTTTTCATTACCATAAGAAAACATCAATTACATTTTCTATTTTATGAGTGTACACAAGGGAATCCATTACAATAACAGAGAGGTTATATGACTGGTTTTGCTGCTTCTTTCCAAAGCAAAAAGAACAGTTAGTCTTTAAGGACAATGAAACCAGCCCAGAGCAAAGGAAGGCACACCAGCGTATCTGCACAGGCAGCTCCTACCCTGATTTATCCAGCCTGACTCCAACTAATTAAACATCTGCCTCAACAACTTCCTCTGCAGATTCATCTTCTCCACAACGTAGCACTGACTGGTTGTTACAAGCTCTTCCTTAACTCACAGCCACTCCCCTGTACCTCCTCCCGTCGGTTACTGGGGCCGTGGCAGATGATCCGGCGTTTCCATGAACCCGCTGCTGCTGCCCCTCGCGGGACAGGTCACTGGGGCCCCAGAGCCCCACTTCTGTACAACCGTGGCCTCTATGAAATGACTTCAGGGCTGCGGTTCTCCCAGCTGTAACACGTACAGGTTATTTTACCACCTGTGGTTTTGTTGATTGACTCAAAAAATGTTATTTAAGAACGGCCACAGTTCATATGTCTCAGGCAAAAGCCTTGTGACGCTGAGAAAGAAAAACTGCAAGGAACATGAAATAGACTGAATAGTTTGCAATAATTTTGTCTAACATAACATCTAAATAGAGCTAGGCACAACCAGAATATTGCTTCCATTTTTTCATCCTGCTGCCTATGAAACAAAGGCTGCCTCCCACTTCTATCTCCTTCTACTGACCTGTATCTCCTGCAACAAACTCTTGCTTGAAGTCAAATCGCAGCCAGAAGCCTCTATTCAGCTTTAGTCCCTTCAGCAAAAGGGATTTTGACATAAACCCATCAGCATTTTTTAAACATAGCTCACACCATGGCTACGCAAATGTTGGTGCATGTGCTGAAAGAAAGTGAGGAAACCGGGGCGACCCTTCGTCAAGAGAAACTTGCTCCAGGAGGGAGGCGAGGGTTGGCACCCAATGGGATTGTGATGACGCCTCTAAACAAAAGCCAGAACTGGAGCCGCTCAAGTCATCGACCCACAGAGGTGACCGAGGCACAGGGGTTTTCAGGAAACTGTGACTCCACTGCTTGTTGATAAACCTCCTTATAAGCTGCAGACTATTGCTGAATAAAAGAATGAGAGAAATCTAGCCCAGCATTTTAGCCCTGGTCATGCTGGAGCATCCCCTTCCTGACTATGCTGCAGAAATGCTCCAGGCTCCTCGTCACCCAAACCAGCCAAACCAAGGCTTGCGTTTTCCCACAAACACAGCACCAATATCAAACACGTCGTGCAGGTCCGTGGTGAAAATAGGTCAGAAAGCTATTTTCTATACATGTGCTCGAAAACAGCACAAGCTGTAAACGTAATAAATTAATTTGTCCTGTGAAGACTGGTCTGGAGGCACGCCGAAAATGTGCAGAAAAGTTCACAGGCATTTCAGTTTTATTAAACTATTACAAAAGCTTTAGATAAATATGTTAAGTATCTTTTTGGTTGGTACTTAAAAGGAAGCATTGCTGAATGCGAAGAAATGCTTTTCCTAAATCATGTCCTATCTTTTATTCAGAACTGTGACATCCTGATCCACTGCTTAATAATGACCTCAACTACAATGGCACAGAGCCGCACTGTGCTAATGGTCTGATCTTAAATCCCATTTCTCTGTGCCTCTCCCAGTGAACAGAAGAGGTCTATCCACTCCAGATATGAAGAATGTGGCGGGAGACAAAGAATGCTGACAAAATCTTGTCCTGGCCCTGCCCCTGTGGTGGCACCCAGAGGGGCTGCGCGGGGCCCGAGTGAGCAGGAGCAGCCCCCGCGCCGCAGCTTCTGCCACCCCCAAAGGGAGTGACGGACCAGTCACAGTGTTGGAGAAGGGAAGATAGTTCTAACAGTTTCATTCGTGATTTACCAGTTCGATACATAAACACCTCATCTGAGAAGTCCCTTCACCCACGTGGCAGCGTTACACAACAATTTCGATAATGCACTAGGAGTGCTCACCAACACTGAAAAAAGAACACAAAAATACTTCATTTCTGGAATTCAGTAGTCTGGGAATTTAAGCAGAAACCTTTCCCTAGAGTGTGACTCCAACTCATGAAGCTTACAGCTGCAGGTCCTAATTCCAGACGTACCTGTACACAAGCTTAAACTGAAATCTGCAGGCAGCACTGACTGTTTCAAGAAATCCAATTACGTGCTCCAAAGTAAATATACTTGTAAGTAACCAAAAGGTTTTTAGTCATGAATTGTGCTGTGGTGATATCCACAGCAGGGATGATGGCCATATCGCAAAGAGGGGAGGTGTCACATAGATAATTTATAAAAAGTAGATTAAAATGATTTCTTATATAATTGCCCCCCCCAAGCAATATGTTCATGCTTACATATCCTGCTACTACCAAGGTTTCTGAGCAGCAATGCCAAAATGGTAGAAATGAATATATTAACTGAAGGAATAATTGACAGGTCCATTCCCTTTCTAAACAACCGAGTAAAAGTAACAAAATAAAAGCGAGACCAAATTTCAAACGGGCAAAGAGTAAAGCATCTGTTACACAAAGGAAGAAAGGAGCTTAAAGACTGAGCTAAATGAATCCTTTAGCCACCTCCCTTCAGGGAAGAGAAATCTGATCCCAGGAAATAAATAAAAGTCACCCAAAAAGTGAACAAAAGAGGTGTTTGAAAAAATCCGAACACCATTCATCGCAGCTAACGACTTGTTCATTATGAGTGATGATGGATAAAGACTTCTCACGCTGAGATGAAATCAAGATTTATATGCATTGTTTCCTCTCCCAACTTGTGGGAAGATCATCATCATTTAATTCTATCTCTGCGGCCAGTGATGGGCATCCAGAGAGCTGGTTATCACACGGCGCAGTCAGCTGGCACGAGCCGAAACGTGCAGTTGGCACATCTGGCCCGAGCCGCCACAGCCGAGGGTGAACGATGGCTCCTGGCCAGCGGCCAAATCGCTGCACACGCTGCCGGGTCTCATCTACAACCACCCCTACCAGCAGCTCGCTCTTCCCACCCCCCTCCTCCTCCTTTTTTTTTTTTTTACAAGAATCAGATTTTCATTGCTTCATTCAATTGCTCTCCTCTGCCATTTTTTACAGCTCTTATCGTTCCCTTGGAATATGGCCTTGAGACAGCTCATCCGTGTCCTTCACTGTGTTATCTCTTCTAACTTTTATTAAAACTTCAGCTCTCATCTGAAGATAGCTAATTAAATCCATGACAGATTATATACTCGTTTAAAAACTGCACTGAACTACTTTTTCTAAAGAGAATGGGGTTTATTTTCTTTGCCCATAGTTAAAACTAAGGGTATATAAGGAGGTTTCATTCATTTACAAAGACAAGATCCTTATCTCCCCCTAGTATATAGATAGGTTTATATTAAAGTCCCTTTGTTGTGTGACAAGACTCGCTGCAATTTCTCACAGTAATTATTTCTGGAAAGATCTCTCAGCCTTTTACTTTTTTTAATACTTTTGCAACACACACACTAACACATATGTAAAGGCGCATTTACACCCCGGCAAAGCATTGCTCTAAAACACAAATGCAAACACTGTACATTTTCTTTTTTAAATGTTGATATGTCTTAACTATAATAGTACTGTTTTGACACATTGCAGGAAGTACATCAGCATCATTTTCTTACATAAATTAAAACTACACAAATTCTATCAAGGAGCAGTCTTACTGTACTTCCACCCATCATCTCAAATTACCACTGGCTGGACTTGAATGCAAATGGCTTTGTTATCATAAATAAGTATTTGCAGTAATGGATATACTGCTCTGCAGCAAACACGATGCAGCTCCTCCGCCGCCTGCTTCCAGTCAGCATTGAGGACACAAACCTGCGGCAGAACCGCATCCGAGCGGTGCTGAAAATCACAATACCCGCTGAAAAGAAATCGAGCATCTTTCACAACAGTTAAAAAAGAGACATAAAATATGCCCATGGAAAAAACAGCCTACCCTCTAGAAAATACAATAAATAACCCACCTGAGCCTCTCTGTGATCCCTTCCTTCTCTTTAAGGCCTTTTGTAAGATATCCTTCATGGTGACCTTCATACTGTCCACCTGAATAAGTGAGAATCCATGAGCAGCATTTCTGCAAGACAGATGCACATGCATTTTTACAAAATAATCATCATCAGGCAGCTCACTGCGACGGTCGCTAGTTTCAAGCAAAGGACTTGTTAGGCACCACAAGGAACAGGGTTGGGCTGGGAGAGGAAGTTAGAAGGAGAAACTGAGCAAACTCCCTTAGAAAGACAAAACCGGAGAAAACGGATTGAGAGTCGAGGTGTGCAAGGATTTTCCTAATTTATCTTTATTTTTGATCAATTGGTGTTTGTCACTACAACAGAAAAACGAGCAAATGTACCCGCAGAGCTCCTCAACTCCTCATGAAGAAGTTTCGCAGAGCACACGGGAGGAACGGTCTGCAGTGGCATTTCCATACCTGTCCCCAGGGCTGAGCTACCGATCCCGCGGGGAGAAGGGGAAGCACAACACACAGGAAGAAACTGGCAGCTCGGCAGCACTATTAACACTATTTCAAATGCAAGTAACGGGCTTTCTTTGGGCACGTTTTTGTCAATGCTGTGGCATGAAACCTCCCAGGTGGGTTTTTGGCACCAGGAAGAAATTGCCAGGCAAGTGTGGGAATCAGCATCGCTGGGACAGCCCAGCAGGCGACAGTATGGTAGGAGATGGCCGTACTGGGACAGCTGTGCTGGTGAGCTCAGCCCCGCAGCCAGTCTCGTTCGTGTCGGTAGATGTCACTGCAGACGGAGCTGCGGGAGCTGCGGGCAGGGCTGGCACCCGGAGTGCCGGCGAAGGAGGAGCTGGCTAGCTGGCAGCCAGGAATTTTAATCAGGGAGCAGAGCTCCATGTGAATATCACAGCTGGAATGTTTTTAAAAGCGACTGGCAGTCAAAAGCAATCCAGGCGACCCTGCCACACCACACCACGTGTCACTGGGAATACGAGCTTGAGCTCCGGTCACTTGGGCATCCCTGGCCCATAATCAACAATCCTCAAGCCCTCGCCACGCAGCCACACTCACTCCTGGGCCCTGGCTGCAGCGCAGCTGCGGGGGCCAGTGAACCTGGGCACGTGCTGGTCACCAGCCTGCCGTCCTGGGGCTCTTATCTCTGCTTGCGGCCACCAGCACAAGTGCACACTGGCCCCTGTCACCCCACCGGTGGCACGGAGCAGCCTGATTTGCCCCAGTTAAGCTTTTCAACTCAAAGTCATCTGCCGAGAGGGGCTGGAACAGGCTGAGGAGATGGTCAAGAAATCCAGCAGTTTATGCATTACAGGAGATAAAACGCCGGCCCCGCTGTCAGTGCGCGGCAGATGGGGCTGTGCCCAGAGCACGCCCGCTCCCGGGGCAGCTCAGCCCCGTCCCTTGCCCCGCAGGAGCCAGTGCCCAGGACACGGAGCTCCCTTCTCATCACTGGGTTAGTCTCTGAATTTCACTCACAATTCCCTTTGTTCCTGGCAAAATGAATCTGCCTAAAAGCCCCAAATTTATGTTCTCTAGACCATTTATTATTTATAACTCCATCTTACTCGTCTTCAAACCAAATACTCCCAATTTGCTCATGCATCTCTCTATTTCTGCCATGGGCTTAACACAGGATGAGCAGAACCGAGCCCACATCTCCCCGGGAGAGGGAACCCACCGTGCTGGCAGCGGCAAAGCTGCCGTCGGTACAGCCCTGGGACTCAGGGTTTTGACCAGTGCCACACAGCGAGCAAAGACCTTCCTAGACTCTGTGCTGCTGAGCAAATCTTCGCTGCAGCTGTGAAGCAACTGGCCACAGCTGACCCGGCTCGAGCTCTCACACCGACACCGACCTTCAGAACACGTATGATTGTCTTTCGATCCCTGATACTGCTGAAGAGCACGTGCTGCTCTCGATCCCGCTCGCGTTTCGGGCTGTCCCGACTCGGTCGCCTCTGTGTTGTGCAGCTGGCCTGAGAGCAGTCGGGATGATTCCCCCGACGCTGTTACTGACTCGTGCCTGAGCCACGGCCACTCTCTGCCTCAGAAGCTGGATCCCCACCCAGAACAACCTTTAAGATTTTATTTTACTGATTAAAGCACAATAAGAAAAACCTCTGTGTTTGACTATATTTAGCATGCTATCCAGCACACGAGACTCTGGCAAATGCAGTGAAATGTAAAGCACACTCGCGCTTGTAAACTTTTGGATATTTGCTCTGGAACAGAGCCCGGGGGCTGAACACACAGTTCCCTCTGCCCTCGCTCTGGCTCACGGAGCGCCGCTCCCCTCAAACGATAGAGCACAGAGCCCCAACAGCCACATTTTAGCCCTCGCTAAACCCACGGGTCTGAGCTGGGTGTGGCTTAAGCCCAGGCCAAGGAGAGCGTTGGTCGCCGAAGGGGTGGGAGCCCTGGAGCATCCCCGGCACGGGATCACCCAAACCATTGCCCGCCCCGGCGCGGGAGCATCCCCTGGAGGGATGTGCTGCCCACTTCGCCCTGCCAGCTCCCCCGGAATGCTCCGCACGGGTAATGGGCATTGACTGTCCTCACGCAACCTAACTCCAGCATATCCTTAGCTACGATTATAAATTACGGGTTTTACCTGTCTCTGCTAACGTGTGGTACCCTTATTTTAAGTCAACACCCTAGAAAGCGGGACAGACAAGCAGATGCCATCCAATCAATTAAAACTGCTGCTTACAAATTGGAAGCCAAAGAAATTCCTTAGCTTGTATTCTCTGTCATTTTACAAAAACATACCTGGGTGACAAGGTTAAATCAAGCAAAGGAAATCCCTGGCACTTATCATCCACAGGCATTACTGATAAATTGTGCGGTGGAGGAATAAAGGATTACCTTCTGTATTTTTTCATTACACTTTTCTTTTGTTACAGAATACATAAATCCATTGTGGCACAATGTAATATGTATCATCGTGCTACACCTGTGGACGTTTCATAACGGCTGCCATGTCTGTGCCGTCAGGAATGATAAGTGAACCACCCGTGAATGTTAATGATAGTGATCATTCTGCGGTAACTTGGCTTTCCATCTTCTTTTACAGCCTCAGCGCTGGAGCCAGGGTGGCAAGGTTCAGAGGAGGAAAGAGAGAACAGGAGGAGAGGCCGAGCCTCGGCGGCTCGCTCCAAGGTGCTCAGGGGCGAGAGGGAAGAGGGCCCGTCCCCTCCACGGGCTCCCTTTTCCAGCAAAATGAAAAAACAGCACTTAAAGGACAAAGGGCTCCTGTTCTGAACAAGAAACAAACTTTTCCAGAAGCTGCCTTGCCAACCTGAAACCATTTACTTTTTTTTAAATTTTTTTTTTTTAAACCCTGAAGTGGAATTTATAGCGCTGAAAGCTCACTGCAAGGAACGGCTGGCATGTGGAAAGAGTCTGCGAGCGACTAATAATGATTTCCACTTGACGAGCACCAAGTCAAAGTTAAGACTAAAAATCCCAGCTGACGCCATGTACTCAAGCTGGGTAATTTTTACAATAAAGTGCACAGTGATACGAACCCGAGTAACTATGCCAGCCACAATCTTCATCCTGAGCCTAAACGATGCTGCTTTAGTGCACCTCAGGCTAGCCCTGGACAACTCTGTGCTCCCGAGTTTGACGTGCTCTGCTGCGACACCACCATCAGCCATGGAGAGAGTCGGCTTCCTGCTCGGGCTCCTTTCTCAGGTCCGGCCCCTCCCTGCTCACTGTCCTGGAGCCTCCTTCCTAACTCTGGCATCTGCATTAATTTATTTGAATTTGTATTTTATGAATATTCAAAAACCATACTTTCTGGATTACCTACACTCTTGTATATCCAAGTATAGCAGAGATGCTGATTTCAAAAACACATCCATACATAAAACAGTCAAAGCAATCTAAACATAATATCAAAACAGAAAAAAGCGTGACAGAGCAGAGGAACCGTACGCCGAATTCCATCTGTGTGCCAACTGGCAGCCGAGCTACAACTCCTAGAAACACCATTAGATTCAGTACGTCAAGCTGCGATAATAAAATTTCCAAGGGAAAAAGCCCTAATGATGGTACGGATTTATCTTAAACCACCTTTGTTCTGAGTCTTCCAGGTATTACCTCATCTCAAGAAGCCTGCATTCGCGTGAATGCGGAGCTTTGTCTGACTCCCCCTGACGCGGCGTGCCCGCCGCCACCACGCGCTGTCTGCGAACGCCGTGTCTGACATTGGACAAAGCACGGCTTTCCACAACAGACACTTTCCAAAAACATAACTCGCTAGACTAATGGGCAGTTAGAAGCCAGAATGACTGCCCTCCGTCTTCTCCTTGTGTAACTTTGCCAGAGTCCTTGGAACTTGCCAAATTCGGTCATGCCTGCTTAGCTTGCTCGACTGATTGTGCCAGAAAAGAAAATAAGACACAGATGTATTTGAGCTCTTTGAGATGCCAGTAAGAGAGACAGCTAATGGCTTCATCCCGACCCTCCCCTACCAGCTGGACACAGGTGGGGGGATAATGAGGTCCCTCTCCCTAATCAAACTCAATTATTTACTACTCTATATAGCCACAAAGACATTCACATTCAGCTCAGAACATAAAATGCACTGTGGGCTACTTCCAGCCACCGCCACCGGGCATTTACAACTAACTCGAGTGGCTAAGAGTTTGCCTTGGCAGGGGTTGAAGTGTATAAAGTTCTGCAAACTGTTTCTGCTCAAACATGTCCTGCCGAAACGGGGTCTCTGGCGAGGTTCCACAACTGTCAGCTTGGTAACTGCACAACATCTGAAAATAAATCCAACACGCAGGATGGGTGAGATCTGAAATGAAACACCAGGCTTCATCATGAAGCTTCTCAGAAGCATCAACTTTTTTCAACAGCGATTCAATATTAATAAACATTACAAGTCACAAGCCTGACACTCCAGCAGCTGAAACACTTCAGCATCAGGGGGAGGAAAAAAAGAGATGCAAAATATAAAACCACAACTGTATGCGCTAGTAGGATGGCAAGGAAGGAAGATGATGTAGAATTTACAACAAATCCCTACAAAAACAAGGCAGCACACACATTGAAACCCACAGAAGTAACAATCTTTTGATCAAGTAATGATCGAGTAATTCTCTTTTCTGGGGGACATTAAAAATTCTAATTTAAACCTAACTATTTACAAATAACTACTTACACAGGAAGTACAAGCCATTTCAAATTAACATGTAGACACAAAAAACACCTCGAACCCTCTCTTAGGACGTGCTTGGCCCTGTTTCTAATGAGCGGGACCTCCCAAGTTGGAAGGAAGGTCTTCACAAGAGCACACGTTATGTTTAAGCGAACGATTTCACATTGTTTTTTCAGGGTTTGCAGCTGGACCTTAATCCTGCTACAAGCAGCAGTCAGAGAACTGCTGGCCAGGATCCTGCTGAGGTCCTGGGCTCCACGCGGGAGCACCGGTTCCACCTCCGCCAAGACAACGGCCAAAGTCTGGGACCATGGGTTTTACTGCGTTTAAATACGAATCCCGACTTGTGTCCTGAGCACAGGCAATGAGGATTGTAGGTAGGAGGCAGCTGTGAAAGAAAGGGGACTTTCTCCAGATGAGAAAGCATCTACATTCAGAATCCTGTAATGACACAGGCTTCCTAACCGGGCTACCCGCAGTAAATGCTCGCGATCCTTTGTGATTGAGTGGAATTAGAACAGAATTTTGCATATACCTGCTGGTACTTTTCTGGGGACATCGAAAAAGAAGGATTATCTTGAAGATAAAACAATCATAGAATAATTAATTTTTTTTAAAAAAATCATATTCATGGCACTAGCATTGACTCTAGAGAAACGTGTGCAGGAGGTAATCCCTCCTGTGGTCGCGCAGGAGGAACTGAACATCCCGTAACCCTACACAATAAAGAATATAAAAGTGTAATTAAATAGGTCAGAGGTTTTTTAAATGTCTGGTTATTCAAAACTGAAAGCAGCTGTATGGTTATGAAATGTAAGTGATCCTTTATAAATTAAATAAAAGCACCCAATAACCAGGAAAACCCTATTAGCATTTTCATCTCAAGGGATCCAAAGATGAAATTTTTTTCCCAAGTAAGAAGTGGTTTATGCTGCCAGTATTTTGTTACAGCAATTAAGGGCTCCGGATGGTTTACAAGATTTTTCACTCCCAAGTAAATAAAAGTGATCAAGCACAGTACATATCACTCAAACACTAGTTCACTGATCAATGATATAGCAAATTCTTCTTGAGCTACAAACCAGAGAGCTTCAAGTTTCAGTGGCAGACGAGGTCTTCTTCATCAAAATTCTCCTGGATGTTAGAGCAGCATGGCCAGTCCTACTCTACCTGGCACCCGTATGTGCTGCTCCGTTATCCTCTCCATTGCTGTGTTGTTCTTAACACACTCTGCAATTGTTTGTGTTTAAAATGACTTGTTTTGCAGCCCACCGGCCTGTCTAAAAATGCAACTTTATTACTTTGTCTATCAGGCTTTGTCAGGAGATTTTGAAGTTTCTCACATATGGAATACCCAGACACCTTCTTTTTTCCCGCTAAAAGTCAGTACGTCTTTCCAAAATAATTAAAAAGTTACTACCAAGATCAGTTCTTAGTATCTGTTGGAAAGTGCTCTGAATATCAACACGAATAACTTCATAATCTCAACTCTCTGAAGCAATTACATACATTATTTCATTTATTACTCATGCCTACTTTTCATAAACTAGGAGCATGGCTGGAGCAAAATGTGCTCAGGCTTTGTTTAAATTCCAAGTATTTACTAACGGGAGTGCAACAGCCCAGTATTCTTCACTATTCATACGCCGAAGGCCTTATTTTCTTCTGCACAGTTGCAGACTCGCAAGGGTAGGCTCCCTCGAGCTGCTCTGGCAGCATTTACTCCTCTGCCGGCCTCGTGACGGAGCCCCGAGCAGGGCATCGCCTGCAGAGAGCCACCAACACGCGGCCCCCGGGATCCTGCTCAGTTCAGGTGATGGGAGGTAGAGAAGAAAACAGAAGGGGAGGTGGGACGGACGCCCGGGGGTTCCCCAGAGCTGGAGAAGGCAGCGTCTGTACTCACATGCGCACGAAGAGCGACTGTTTGGCGGCCAGGCCGGGGGACGAGTACTTTTCAACCAGCGCCAGGGTGCTGAAGCCAAACTTGTGAATGGGCTCGTTGGAATCCAAGGGTGGGAAATCGGTGTCGACCTCACCGTCGTCCTCAGCGATGTGCAGGCAGTAGGCGTTGACGTTGTCGCTGCGACAAAGACAAACCACGTTTATTCGGGGGGAAGCTGGAGCAGCAGCTCCCTCAGCCCGTCCGCACCTGTCCCCGAGCGCCACCGGGCACGGCGCAGGCTCCTGCCCAGCTCCAGCCAGGGATCGCGCATGAACGCGTCCCCGCAAAGTCCCAACACGTCTTGCTGCTCCATCCACGTGGTAACAACAGCAAACCCCCAAAACCTCAGAGTAAAGCACGAGTCGTACTCCACCAGG